TTTTTTTTTTTTTTTTTTTTTTTTTTGGTAGTACTGGGGATCAAATTCAGGACCTTGCACTTTCAAGGCATGCATGGTGCCACTGAGCTAAATCCGCAGCCCATTTTTTTGTTTGTTTTTTGAGACAGGGTAGTTTTTGAGACTAAGTAATTCAGGCTGGCCTTGAACTCACCATGAAGCCCAGCTGGCCTCAAACTCACAGCAATTCTCCCGCCTCAGTCTTCCATGTGCTGGGATTACAGGTATGTGCCACCACCCCTGGCTATTACTTATGGTCTTAATCATTACAAAACATTCATGAAGTCTAATTACTTAGTAATCTGAACATGGCTGTAACTGAACTTAATACATTTATGCTCTGATACTTGTATTATCCATGTGTTCCACTTATTTGTATAGCAATCATTTGTCCCATGTTTTAAGTCATTTGGATTGGTTAAACATGGTAACTTTTAAACTAAATAGGATTTATTCTTATATTTCTGCATTTATGTTTCTGTCTTGTGCCATAAAGAAGACTACTGAGTGTCCTGAACCCACCAAGAAAATAGTGAATTATTGTACTATTTTTCAGTTCAACAATTGAACCCACTGACCCAAGTATAGAGGAATATCAACTAAAAAGGCATTTCAAGTTGAAGAAAAATGTTCTGAGCCTATCATTCGAAAACACGAATATCATATAACTTGAAAATAAGTTTCTGGGGCCGGGGATTTAGCTCAGTGGTGCCACTGCCTGCCTTGCAAGCACCAATGGCTTGAGTTCAATCCTTGGTACAAAAAAGAGAAAGTTTTGGGACTTATACTCTGTCTGATCCATGGTCTCCTTGTAACACAGTTTTACTATTCCACTTGGAGTCTGCTGTGTGCTCTGCTACTACAGTGAACTCAACTGTTCATATCCATTTCTCCAGACTTTCCTCTTGTGTAAAACATGAGAATATTCCTGATGCTTGTGGAGACTTAATTCTAATTTTTAAGAGGGTCATTTGAAAAGATGTGAATTTAATTTTTTTAAAAAATTGAATGTGGGGGGAACTTCAAAAAGTAGAATGCTCTAAATAGAATCATCAACATTTCCCAAAAATTAAGAGTGGAGGCCCAGGGATATAGCTTAGTGGTTCTGCCCCTGCCTTACAAGTGCAAGGATCAATCCCCAGTACCAAACAAAAACAAACAAACAAACAAAAAAATTAAGAGTAGAAATAGTTTCCTTCCTTCAATATTTATCAGGTTTGAGATAAAAGTATCTTGTATTTCTTATCACTGATTCATGAAAAACCAATTATAAACTCTGGTCTGATTACATTTATTAAGTACATACTAAGTGGTAGAACTTTAGATATGTTATCTCCTTTAATCATCATATATACATGAAGTATATACATTTTATAAACAAGAAAATTGTCTTTTATAAAAGAGGTTACAAAACTAATGCAAAACTATTTAGTTGTGATCTAAAATTCAAACCCAAGCAATCTAAGCCCTTTTAACCATTACCTTACTCTGTACTGCCTCCCAATATCTGATAGCAAAAATAAAACACTGTAGTTGGAGTTGGTGGTGCACACCTGTAATCTCAGCACTCTGAGGAAGATGAGGCAAGAGCATCGCAAGTTCAAGCCCAGTCTTGGCAACTTAACAATTTAGCAAGAACCTGTCGCAAAAATTAAAAAATGAATAGGCCAGGGATGTAGCTCAGTGGTACCATGCCTGCCTGGCAAGCGCAAGATCCTGAGTTCAATACCCATACCAAAAAATAAAAATAAAAACCGAAAAGGTCCAAGTATATAGTTCACTGGGACAGCCATGGGTTTGATCCCCAAAAACAAAACAACAAAAAGGAAGGCAAGAGTAATAGCACTGCTTTTAAATTCCTTACTCCTTAGAATAAAAACTAGTACAACTATTATGGAAATCAGTATAGGACATTCCTCAAAAGACTAAAAACAGAAATTCCACTCAACCCAGCTATTCCTCTTCTGGTATCTTCCCAAAAGAGTTAAAAACATCATATTGCAACAGGCATACCCATATTTATAACAGCATAACTCATACTCACTAAATCTTGAAATCTGCCTACGGAAGGACAAACTTAACTCATTTGTAGGCAAATGGATGCACCCCAAGACAATAATGTTATATGAAATAAATTAGACACATAAGCTTAAATACTGCATGATTTCTCTTATATGAAAAAAACAAAATATAAATAAAAAGCAAAGTAAAAGATAACTAATAGGAAACAGAGAGGTAAATCTTTTGTTAAAGGGAAAGGGGAGGGGGTTTTTTTTTCAGCTGCCCGCCTGCCTGCCTGCCTGCGATCACCGGCGGCGCGCGCGCGAGCTCCCG